CATTTTTTTTTTCTTTCTTCAATTATTATGAATTTTTCGCGCTGAACGATAATATGTTGAAATATTGAACACGCATCACATTCCACATGCAGAAAAAAAACACATGTGCAAAGAAGGCAAAAATGAAACATGTATATCGTGAGTTGATCGTAGGAAAGCCATTTGAAATCGATCGGTGTCAAATATGATTGTTTACTGTTTTTAATGCAATTCGTGGCCGAATCAAGGGATTCCATTGGCTAATTAGCATGCATACCTTTTGCGAAAATGTATGTGTGCATGTGCTTCTTTTCTTTCTGTTGATCAATTAGAATTGGTAAACGAAAACAAAGCAAAAGCAAAAATAACATAAAAAATTGTTGGCCAAAACGAAGAAGTATCAAAATGTGCTAAAATTTATTAATTATTCCGATTGCGCGGACTACTACCATATTATTAGCAAAAAGATATCCAAATGACTATTTGGCACATTTGCACACATTAATACAAAGTCATGCTTATACATACACTCAAATGAATACATGTGCACACGCAAAAAAAAAATATCATGAAATCAATGAAAAGCGAAAAAAGCATAGAAAACTAAATACCATGTCCCAATTATGCAATGCGTGCATTCGAATATATCGATAATAATCGAAAAGCGAAAACAACTTACAAGGCAACACACAAACACAGTGGCAACCTGTTCGCAAATGTGGCGTCGACGACAACACCACTACCGCTACCACCACCATCACCACCATCAACACACTATATTATCGGTTTTGGCACATGCATACGCACATGTACACGCATCCAAACCAATCGGTCATATGTTGATTGTCCGCTGCTGCTTCTGCTGCTGCTGTTGTTGGTGTTGCCGCGCGCTCTTTTCTATTGTGATTTTGGCTCTTTTTCTCATTCGTTGGTTGATGGACCAATGGATTGGAAGAGATTTTGATCGAATCGGTTGATTTGACAGGTCCAATCGATTCCTCCACTACAACCCCAACACTCTCTGTGCACACGGAGCACACATTCAATGTTTATAAATGAAAGTGATTTCATTGTTACCATGTTTTAGAAAATGGCCAACATCATGTTTACTTGACATACCAAACGCATTCCGCACTAAACTGACAACAAATATCATCGCACAATTATCATCAGCAACACAGTGAAGATTGTAAACAATATGCGATGAATTTGTTCAGCGAGTCACGGTGAACACAATACAGTTTAGTTTGTCCAGTTTTTTTTTTTCAAAGTGTTCCATTATGACGAATTGCATACAGACTAAGGCCGAATTGACCGAATGATTCCGTTGGTGGTTGTCAAAGTTGCAGGCCATTTCAGTGAAAGAAACAACAGAAACATTCAACATGGTATATATCCACACTATCTGTCCAACATAACAGTTTGATGCGTACGAAATTCAAGAATGTTTTATCAATGCACCGCCAAAAATAGCCTACTAGATGGACAAGTGGCGAATGCTGAAAGCATTAGTTGATATGTGCGCGTTATCTGCGTACCCCCCATCCGTTCGGCCAGTAAGCCAGTAGTTAACATAGTTCATATGGTTGTAAAATTAACGAAAAACAACGGTGGCCAAGCAACAATGAAGAAGATGTGAAGAAATAAAAAAAAAATACACAGAAAAATATTTCGTATTTGCCTGGGCCATTGCTGTTATTTTTGTTGCCGCTGCTGCTGCTCTTTTTGTTGGAATTATTGGTGTTGAATTATCTGGCCTTCACAATGTTTTTACACATGTATTTGTCGTCTACATTTCCAAAGCATATACACATACACCGATGAGGTAGACAACAATATGTCAGTGAGAGAGGGAGAGAGAGAGACAGAGACGCGCAACAACAAAACTGAATAAATGAATAAAATTCCGTTGTTTCAATTTTCGTTCAGAAAAAAAAGAGGCGAAAATTGGTTTAATGATTACTGAACCTTCCCCAGTCACACCACAACCACACACTAACATAAGTTGTTTTTGCTTTGGTCTGCTTCTTCTTCCTTCACGTTTTTGGCCGAAACGAAAAAAAAACCACGCACACCTCTCCATTTATACATATAATCAAAACTAATATAAATAATAAAAACGATTAAACTATTATGATTGTTGTTTTCGATGTCGTTGCCGCACACACATACACACACACACACACACACCCAAAGAAAGAAAGAAAAAAAAATATGACGACAAAAAGACACCAAACAACACACTACGTACAAGAAAAAAAAATCATCGGTTTTTTTTCTGTTTGCTTGAGTCGGAATTGAGATTTTTGCGAGATTTCTAGATTGTGTGTGCGATATTAAACAGTATTCATTTGATATTTCATGGTAACTGTTCTGCAGCCATTGATTGTTATGTGAATGGATCGTGTGTCTCTTTCTTCGTCTGTTTTTCTTCTTCGTTGAAACTACGGAACGATTCGCTTTGGCAGTGGTAAATCATTTATAATGATCGTATATCATATAGTAAATGGCATCCATTTTGTGAACATCGCATGAATTCGACTCCTCGCTCGGTGGACAGTGAAACATTCACGATCGAAAAACAATTGCAATAGTTTTACGCGTTTTTAATATTGTGTTGTGATTTTAAGACGAAAATTGAACAGAAAAAAGAAACTGAGAAAAAAAATTTATACATTTATAATTGTGAATCCCATAGTGTGTAGTAGAATCAGTGCATTTTTATTTTTATTTTGCAATGGATCGAATATTTCCAGCAAGATATACCGTGAGGTAAATTGTGTAATGATGAATGATGATTAGTTGGTCCAATAAATGAATGTGTGTTTGCTTTAAAAATTGATCTGAAGGATAACGCTGAGACACAATAAAAGCAATTCAGTTTCGAATAAAACGATTGATATCAATCGAATTGGCTTCCAACGATGGAAATTGCACTTTTCACTCAAAATGAAAGCGATTTGTTGTAACATATCCAGCCCTCAGCAGGCATGAGTGAGCTGTTTCGCTAGCAATTTTATATGTGCAAATTACGATCGATGAAATACAGAGACATACCGTTAGATGGTAAACATCACGTAGTGGCCCTGTTTTTCGATTGGAAATCGATGGAAAAGATTCATTTCAAGGAAAAGATTCGATCGGTGTATATGTGTGCTTTGAACTTTGATAGAGTGAAAAAGAGTGAAAAATGATATGTTGAAGATTGTGTTTCGGTTGTCGCGTGTCAAAACTATCAACGGTAAATAATAACTTCAGGAAGAAGGACACTTTAATTCATTGCACACCGTGCGGGTGCGCGCGCGCGCTTGTATCAATCTACCGAATGGCAATGAAATCATCAATTGAATTATAACAAGCATTTTCTAAGTAAACAAATGGATGATGATCACAAATTTGAATAGATAAAAAAAAAATATTGCAGTGCTAATCGCCTGAATCAACATGTGTTTGAATTCGCCATGCTTTGAGAATTCGGTGGAATGAGTAATTTTATGGTAAATACTTTTGCGAAAAAAAAAAATAAGAATCGATCAATGCTAATTTCTCTTTTTTTCTACTGTTGTCGATAATGTTTTTTTTACTAAAAAAAAAATTTGTGACTTCATTTATTGGACTGACTTTACGCAAACACAACGCCATTGTGACAAAACATCAGAAAAAAAATATATACTGCAAATTGTCACCGTTAACGGAAGTAAACTAAACACATATCATAATAACTATATAAATAGTAATCTGAACCATGGTCTTGCTTCTGGAGACACACTGATTCGAATTTTTCGAGTGCACGTGCTTGTTTGTCTGTCTACGATCATTTAAGTGAACATGTTTTAATTAAACGTAATTATTTTATTACTGAAGCGCGATTCATGTCGACGACAATGTACACGATGTTGTTTGTTTTTTCCTTCGTCTGAGTGTCTTTGGAAATACACTTTTGGTTTTAATGGCCGCCTTATTTTTTTTATTATCTTGGATAATCGCCGGTTTTGTTCAAGTAATTTTCCTTGTTTTGTTACATAAATGCACGTGATCTTGAAATAATTTATTGTATTCATCATTGCTCTGGCCGCTGATATCGCAGTTGTCCCCTATCAGAACGTAAGCCATTTAAAATTGCCAGCTTCCAGAGAGAGATTGATTGATGACAATCATCGATGCGATTAATTTCCTCATAATGCGGAAAATCGAAGCGTTTACTGTGTGTGTACCTGATCACATGCATTGCAATTTATCTCCTTGTTTTTTTTTTTTTGTTTGCATGCAGTATATAGAAGTCATTCAGATAACAATCGGTCATCTTTCACGCAACATCTATACTAAACTCATCAACATTATTTATTAATTGGCATTGTTCTCAATCATGTCTCATTTATATTGAACTCACGCGGGTGAAGCAATCTTTCAAAACCCGGCAATAAGTACAAACACACACACACACACGACAATTATTTGATTTGAAATGCAAAATTGTTGAAATATTTAGAAGATTCTTGTGATTACGTGTCATTACGATGACACACAAAAACACAATATATCAAATGATTGCATCAGATATTAATTAAACATTTCAAGCTGGTTGCAAATAGAGTCGAAATGGTGACTCTTACAAACAATCGCACACGATACACGGAATATTCGTCAAGAATTTTGTTTTTTTTCCTATAATTTTCGTTCAGACATATTAAGTAATTATGTACACAATGTAGTAAACCTTCTAAGTTTTGCGATGCGGAAACAGTTGGCACTGAGAACACAATTGCATAATCAATATATACGTATGTATAGCATATTTGCTTGACCGGAATGCATCTATCTACCCAAGGAACAATTGTTAACGCAAATACATCCATTGCCAAGCGTATGTAAACGGTTGAATTTGGGCCCACATTTGGGTGTAGTTTCAGTCATTTTTAACGTCACAATGGAAGTAGAAAAAGAACAGTAAAAACAAATCAATTAGAATGATGTAAAAACGATTATGAATCAATATTCAATATGCTAATGAATAGTGATACTCACCTACGAGGTATTTTATATGATCCGACTAAGCCCCGTACTTCGGACAAGGCCACAATACTCAAAGCCCAGCAAAGTAACAAAACGTTACAATTATTATTGTTTGAAAACTTAATCCTACATCAACTAAAAACTATTCTTCATCGGACACGTCGTCGAGAACGTAAACGTAATCATCGTCGCTGTCGCTATCGTTGTCATCTTGGTCGCCTTCGGCATTGTTCTGCGCGGCTGCAGCTGCTGCATGATGTTGTCTCGACAGTTGCGGATGCACATCCAAGCCCTTTATCATACAAAGACCTGAAACAACCGAAATCACAAACAACAATTGTTAGCCAGAATATTTCACTTTTTTCAATGTATGATACATACCTTTGTACAATATGCACTTGGTAGCGACTTCATCCCGATGCCAAACAGTGTTCTGTTGATGTGGATGACGTGAATCGTTCCATGTGTTATCAGTGTTTAGCTGCCAGTTTTTGAACCATACATTGAGTTTCGGCACTAAACCATGTGAATACACTGGATGTACATTCAATCGTTCATATTCCGCAACAACATGTCGTCGCTCTCGTTGATACGACCGGTTGCTTTTCTTGCTGATGATCACACTGCTCAGGTGTTTGTCAGTCGTGATATTTGCTGCATGTGGAATGCATTGACGGCAGACTTTGTAGCGGTCGTTTCTTGTACGTCGATCAAATGGCCGAAAGCACTTTGCACACGTCTGCGATGTTTTGAATTCGTCAACCATCACCACCACACAATTGTGCAGTTTCTTGAAGCTGTTCAGTAGTTTCCGTACACCAGGGCACCGCAACCGTTTCTTAATACCAATTGTTGAATTTGGAGCCATTTGAGCTGCACCAAGGAAAATGAGCGATGGTAATTTTCTGGTCAAAAAAGCAGCGGTGGTATCACTTGCACGGGTCTCCTCGATATGTTTATCGAGATTGAGGCGAATGTATTTGCGTGCTGTGTAAACCTCCATTCCAGGCTGCAACATTTTCACACGATGTTCGATGTAACTCATCTAATTTGAGGCTCCCTTGGGCGATGGATAGAATGGATATTGATTTCGGTCATGTTGCTCCAATTCGGTGAACAATCGTAGCCATTTTTCCGATTTGCGCTTTCGTTTGCCATATTTCGCTCGAAAATGGTATTTCGGACCGTCGATCGTGATGTTTTCCTGTGTGAAATAAATAAGAACAAAGAATCATGATTATATGCATATAAAAGAAATGACTGACAAAACAAACAAACAAATCAAAAAAGAAAAATAAGAAAAAAGAACAAAGAATCATGATTATATGCATATAAATGAAATGACTGACAAAACAAACAAACAAATCATTGTTACTCACTTCCACACCGGATGCGATATGTTTTCGCACCGTGGCATTCCAGGTTCGCACACCAGGATCCATGCCAAGCACGAAGCGGAAAACACCATTTTCGTACATTTCGTTGATTTGCTCGTGCGAATATTCGTGTGAGGGGCATTCTGGCTTCAGGAAACACAACGAAACAGCCACACTATCCGTCACGATTGTGTAGTCAAATGTCTTGCGATTGCCGACTTTCTGAATCTTGTCCATGTTGAATATTGTGTCCCAGGACACAAATGGATTGCTGTCGTAGACCTTTTTCGAAATGTTAACCGGCTGGCCAAACAATCCTTTTGCCAACTTGATGGCACCCAATTTGCGCGCCATTTGATAGAACAGGTGAATATCGATCCGGATGTGCTTCATCTTGAAGTCATGAATCGGAATTACACGAAAGTTTTTTATTTTCGGTGGGCGTGCAATGGATGGCATGGCGTTGTGTAATCGATCCCGATAATATCGGCGCCAGAGATCATTCAAGAGCTCGTATCTTTCATGGTGGTTGAACACTAGCCGTTGAATGGTGATGAATATCGGTATTGTCTGGAACCAACTACCACGGACGAGATCACATAACTTCGTACCGACTGGTATTCCGATCATACGCGCTTGCTCGAGCAGCCGCACCACATTCGCACTTGGTACTATATTGTTGAACATAACTGATTTGGTGGCATTTTTCACATCGATGTCGCTGATGTTATGGCCAAGCAAATTGAGCTCATACCGTTGCAGCACGAAAAACGTTTTGATACGGGTGTAGCACCACGTTTTGATGTTGTTCTTGACATTGGTGGTGTATTGATCAATGAGCTGATTGAATGCGTTTCCCATGCCTTCACGTTGTGGCCATCGGAAGTTTGGCACTGCTGCTTCGATTATTTGGCGGAAGGCCAACGGCAATTTGTGTCGGTTCTCGTTCAAAATGTTATTGAAGCAATCCTTGATCAATTCGTATCCATTGCCTCTGAAGAAGTCATGGTTATCTTCATCGAATGCTCGGTTGTTCTCGAAGAGAAACAACAATGACGCCAAAACGGTGATGACGGTGGCTGTGTGGCACCAATTGGTGACTTGTGCCACAAAATTCGCGCGATATTGATCCCGGAGAACCGAATTCAGCGATAGTTTGACCGATCTCGGTCGCCCGTTCTGGGCCCGCTTTCTCTTCATGCTCACCAAATTTGATCTAATGAAAATGAAAATGAAAATGGTGAACAAATTGATTAGAATTATTGCACTTTCGATCAAACACTGACTAAATTAACAATTTGTTTTGGAGAAACAATCAATGAACCATCAATACAACAATCAACTTGCCTCAACGAATTCTGACACCAAACTGACCATGCAATGCTGAATTTTGAATATTGTACTCTTGTCGTTTTGCAAATGTCCTGTTAGTCAGAAATCACAACCGAATCAAATGCAACACTAATACAACAGCACAATCCAGAAAAATGTGTTGATGAACACTCAAAATCTCGTCTGAATTCGACTCAATGTAAACATCGGTATGAAATTCAGAACACAAAAACTGCATTGTTCCTCACGCAGCAACAGTAAGAGCTGTCAATTCGATTCTAATGGATTCGCCACAGTCACACTTCGATTTGTTATGAAAATATTCTTGCCTCAACGAATTCCGACACCAAACTGCCAATGCTATGCTGAATTTCGAATATTGTGCTCTTGTCGTTGTGCAAATGTCCTGTTAGTCAGAAATCACAACCGAATCAAATGCAAAACTAATACAACAGCACAATCCAGAAAAATGTGTTGATGAACACTCAAAATCTCGTTTGAATTCGACTCAAAATAGATATTTCGCATCGTTATGAAATTCAGAACACAAAAACTGCACTGTTCTTCATGCAGCAACAGTAAGAGCTGTCAATTCGATTCTAACGGATTCGATCGCCACAGTCACACTTCGATTTGTTATGAAAATATTCTTGCTCCAGCACACACACACAAGAATGAAACGAACGAAGCGAAGAAGCAAAGAGAGAGAGAATACACGAGAGCAACAGTACACATAGCTATGTTAGTTGAATGTTCTTTCTGTATGCGGTTCATTCTCACATTCTTTCTTTCGTGTTTGTATATCTGCTGTACGGTCTGTGTAGAATGGAGCGAGCATAATGTGAACCGTCCGTTATTTGTTACATTTTGAATAATATGCATTGCGTTAAAATATTTCATTGGAAGGTGTCATTTTATTGGGAACCATGCACATAATCCACGTTAAATATAACACTTAAATTACCACGAAAATGGGCCAAAACGTTACATTACGCGATGGTGAAATCTACTGAAAATGGTTACATTTTTGTTCCTTGGGTATACTACGGTTTTGCTGAAGAAAAAAAAATGCATATAAAGAGATTGAAAAGAAGAGGAGGGAAAAGAATGAAACATTCTACAGGAATTGACACAATAATTAAATCAAAGCAACTCAAGCTAGGCTATTGAAAATAAATTTGCTCTTGAATTGTGACTTTGTCTATTAAAAATGCATGACACATTCAATCCACACCCCCAAAATCATTTAATTGTTATTTATTGTCAATTTCATTTTGATTCTTTGCAGAAACTCATTACGGCGCATCGCAACAAATGATGACACAGAATTTTCCCGCGAGAGTATCGTAAATTTAATGGAGAAATTCGTCAAAACTGTAAATGTTATGGATGAAACGATACTGGTGCCATGTCGATTGATGGATAGAACGGTTCGTATTTTTTTTGTTGTTGTTGTTGTTGTTGTTGTTGTTGTTGTTATTGCTTCTTCTTCTTCTTCTTTTTTTTGAATAAAATATTTTTTTGATTTGAATTTTTTGTTGGATTTGTGATAAAATGGCATCAAATCGTTTTGAAATATCGAAACAATGCTGATCAGATGCGGAAGAATTAGTAAAACACTTGTGAAGATATGCAAACTCGTTTTCCACGAGCCGTAGACGAATTTCACAACTTGAGAAAAAAAAAAGAAGAAGTCATCGTTGTGTGCGAGAGTGTGTCTTTGTTTTTTTTTTCAAACAAAAATTCTCATGGTGATTTTTATGGCTCGTACCTGCAGTTGCATTACCAATCATAATGAAAAGCTAGACTATAATGTTTATCCACGCGACAGCAATAGAAGAAACATCATATGAGGGATTAATAAATTTCAGGGCTAACCAAATATGATATCATAACTTGAGCTTATGCTGTTAAATACAAACCAGCGCACACTTTGTGCGCAAAGCAGGAGAAAAAGAGATTTGTACCGAAAAAAATGTGTTTTTTTCTTAGTGTCCAATGCGTGGTCTACGAGACCAAACAGCGCCCGAATTCAAGTATTTACATCGGGGCGATACCATGTGAACAATATAACATTGTATATGATGTTTGCTTTAAATCCGTGTCCTTAGCATCGTTCATTCACCAGCTGAGATCAATTCAATCGCGCGACCACTTGCCCAGAAACACTCTGCGAATTTCACATACATATATGGTAAATATATGTGTGTGTTTGTGTGTATTGAACAAGCAGCGGCCATTGATCACATTGTGATCACAAGCACAAGTGATTTGGCTTTCATTGAACATCGCTTGCGGCACGCCAAAAGTGAATGTATATGCCGAGCGCTTGCTCGGCTCAAAGAAGAAGAAGAAAAAAATATCACTCTGATACTCAGAATTTATTCTGATGAGATGGAAATGGAAAGTTGATTTTTGTTTCTGACTTTGTGCTGGTTTATTCAAATGGACTTTGTTCCGGTAGTTTTGGCAAATCGCAAAATTTTCTTGTTGTGCCCAAAAATTGACTAATATGACATTGAAACCTAACGAGTTTTTTTCTTTTTCATCTCTTTGCATTTGCTGCTTATTGCCCGTGATATCATTTCGTGGCGGCTTAAATAATTTGATACAAAACCATTTACGATTGAGAGTCAAATTCCTCGGCCGTTTACTACTATATTTTGATTTTAAACGGCGATTAGTAGGCTTATCAAATAAATAAAATAAAATGCTCGGTAATTATGGCTGAAAAAGGAAAAGATTCTCTAATATTTATGAAGATATTGTAGAGATGATATAATTTATGTATGATACTGGCACACGCAAAATTATCAACGCAAACTGTATGATGATAACGTGCTACAAATTACTTTTTTGTTTTGCTTGATAGACCAGTTATAAATTAATCAGATTATGCTGCTGCTTTAAACTCAAAACATGTGTTAGGCACACGATGTCTTGTCTCACCAAATGTCTGCACACAGTTTCCGTTCGCTCACATTTTGCAATCAAATGAACTATGGAAATTCAAGACCGTTCGTAATTGTTCTTCTCTGCTGGCCGTTTTGTAAACCGTATGGCAATTCATCAGGTTTAAACATGAAATATTGCTGATTTTGTTTGGTTTTATAATCCGTCTTTGCATCGTGAGAACTCGGAAACTTTCCGTGAAACACGAAATTAAAAAAACGGAAC